CATTTTGAATGTGGCAAGGTGGATGCACAAGGGCCCAGGCAGGATTTGATCCCCAAACTCCTGGGTGAGAGTCATACGCACTAACCAGTCAGCCAAAGGGACATCCGCTTGGCACAGTAGCCAGGGCGCATGATCAATCGGGACATTGTGACAGGACGCTCACACTGTCACATCAATACACTTTAGCCAATGGCTAAAGAGAAAGATACTACGTAAACCAGTAGAGTACTGCGTAGCAGCTCTGTGTCAAAGTTATAAAAGCATCGAGCGTCTCGGCCACGCCTTGTGGCGAGCTGGGAGTTGGATTTGCAAACGAGTGTAGGAGGTTAGCCGTAGTTCAGCGTTAGCATATAGCATTAGCATATCCTAATCTTTAGCATAGCTTTTAGTGTTATACATACTTATTTAGTGTTAGCTTGGCTGTTGGATATTGTAGTTTAGTTAGTGTTTCGCTGTTAGTGTTATTAGGAAAGTAGTTCGGGTTTAGTGTTCCATATCGTGTTAGTATGGTGAGAAGGTGTAGTGTAGTGGGTTCGGTGGCTCTGTGGGGTTGCACTCCTTTCCACTGGACTTAGAAATTAGGCGCCACTGATTGCGCGCAATCGGTGTCTGGAAAACAGTCAGCTCCCGCCTGGTGCTGTAGTTTGCAACCAGCATTTTACCCACGATTCCTTCGCCAACATGATGGAGTTTGAACTGGGTTATTCTGCGTGCCTCCGTTTGAAGAGGGAGGCCGTGCCCACCGTGGCCAATAAGATGTGATGATTCCATCTAAATATTAAATATAAACCTGATTGATCTTTGAATGTTTAACCAGAATAGTTTAGGGTTTTTTGCTTGTTCAGGGACCATAAACACACTTCGTGTTAATTCAGGAAGAGTCAAGTATATTGTTAAAAGGGATTTTATTCTTGTCTAAACTAATGATAATACACGACAAGCTATGAATAACGAAGTGATGGAGTGTATATGCAGTGATGTAATGTGAGTTGTAGGCGGTGTGGTGTAAAGTAGATGTGTATCAGAACCTTTGTATCTGAAAGAGATTGTGAACTCTGGGTGTGAAAGAATTTGTTGTCTGCTATAAACTAGAGAGTTGATTATTAATAAAACAACATCAGACGCAATCTGTTGTGTCTACAAACCTTGATCGGAGATCCCCGGTCAGATCCGGAATGTCAGGAAGTCTGGTGGACCTCAAGGCACTGAAGTTCATAGATTAACTGCGGTGCGACCAGTCCGGTCTCGAATTGTCTCCAGGTCACAACAGGCAGAAAGGTTCATTGCGTCTAAAACGGATGTGTTCTCAAGGAGCCATATGGCTGTGTCAGCTGACAGTGTGCCAACCATCGACATATATATACTGGACAATTCGTGTCCACAGGCTCCAATTAAAAGTTTTTGTGCCAAAATGGGAGGTGGCTACCACCGCCATTTTGACTGTGTCACAGGTTCCGTCAAGCCAAGACAATTCCAAAAAAGGGAAAAGAGGTGGAGCTGAGGGTGGGGCTGTAAGGCTGGGATCAAATGACGACACATGATGAACTGAAGCGATGTAGCTACAAGCTAACCCAAAGCTAACGCAGAGGTGGGAGCTAAGCTAACGGAGATAGCTACCTAGCTACAACCGGAGTTAACTGTGCACAACACCGGAGCTTTTGAGTCAGAGATACGCCGGGCTGACTGCTGGGTAAAACCGGGTGGAACACAGAGGTCTCCCGAGAGCTCCACAAGCCGGCAGCCCGCGCAGCAGACAGGCGCCGCTGCGATCAGAGATGCGCCAAGCTGACGCTGAGGGGAGGGGACCATTCCAATAGTCGGAATCCAGCTCCACCAACATGTTATATTTCAACCCATTTTCAAAAATGCAGCGTCATGTTAAATGCACTGGGTTCTACCCTATTACATTTAAATTTTATGGTTAAACAGTACATGGTGCTTCCGGTCTGTAACAAGATGGCGCTTGTGCTTGGCTTAGCCGCAGTCACCGTCCACTTTTTCAAACGTTTCTCCACTAACCTCCTCTTTTCCACCTTGCTCCTGTCTGTCTGTGTCTGTGAAATCAGGTGTGTTGAAACAGAGTTAAAACCAAAACATGCTGGATACTATCCCCTAAGCCATGATCAGTCTTTGTTTTCAGGTCATGTGAGAGTTGTTTTTAGACCTACATGTTGCTACTCTTTAGAGAATATTCAAAAAGGAGGTAAACTTACAATTAAATACTCTAAATACTCTTTCTCATAAGTGGATTTACCTGTGTACGGAGGTCAAGGGTCACAGAGCTTAACAAACCAATTCTGAGTTCCAATAATTAGTTCTACAGGTTTTGGAATAAATAAATAAAATGACAACAGTGCCCAAATGTATGCACCTGCCAAGTTTTGTTTAAACATGTATTGCACACTTTCTGTAAACCTTTGTTTCACTTCTCAAACATCACTCTGTGTTTCCTATATGTTACATTTAACTGAAAATCTCATAACAACCAACGATTTATAGGAAACTCATGAAGATTAACAAGACTGCCCAAACTTTCACACCCAACTGAAGATGGTCTCTCAGTCTAAGACGAATCACTGAAATAAATGACCCTTTGCACGATATTTAGGATCACGTGACCTGTAGAGAAGGCAGCTGTCTCCAGGGGCACCCAGTGGGCGTGGTCACACCGGCCAGAAGAATTAGGATGGGGCGTGTAGACTTTTCTCCTCATTAATAACATTAACTTTAAACAGCTGGTTGTGTGTACTTATGTTGTTGTTGACTTATATTTAAATTTGTTTGATGGTCTGAAACACGAAAGTGTGACAAACATGTAAAATGAACATAAAAAAACAAGAAATCAGGGATTTTTTCCACGCTAGTTCCACGTGACCAGTTGAGATGACGTCAGTGTCGAAGCAGCAAAGTTTAATGGCCGAGAGTTTTACGAGTAGTTGTTGCTTTTCCATTTGGTTGTAATCGGTTTCAGGTCCGGACCGGATTAGTCCTACGGGCACGCGGATGACAGGCTCGCTACAAGACGGTAATCAGAATACTTTATCGTCATATGGAGAAGAGCAACAGGATGATTAGTTTTCCCTGCATCTATTACAGCAGATAATAACAGATCTATTCATGAGATTACTTTAATATTCACTTATTGTGTTTAGGTCAGACTGATTCTGACCCAAATGTGCAGCTAAAGTGACTGTAGACGCATTTTATGTTTCAGATTAGGACTAAAATAGGAATATTTTTTGTTGTCAAGCCATCCCATAAATGTGAACATGCGGTCTGGATTTCTAGGCAAGTTGAGGAAAGCAGCAGCGCTGAGCTTCAGGGAAATCAGGACCGAGGTAGAAATCTTCACGGAGTCTGGGACGACTGTCAAAGTCAAAGTCAAAGTCAAAGTCATTTATTGTCATATTCTCCACATGTGCAGGACATACAGAGAAATGAAATTCAGTTTCAGCACACACAATTCAAAGATCAGACATACGTGGGTAAGACACATAACAAGAATTGGTGACTGCGGTCATTCGCAACATGAGTCGCGCTACCTTAATAGTTAGATGAAAAGGGTGTTACATGAGGAAAGTTCAGGGAGGGGAAAAAAGGCATTAACAGGGTTACACCAGCAGGGTGTAGCACTCTAATGCAAAAAAACACCCGACATGGAAGCACAGACAGCACGTATACAACATCAGAGTCCGATGGGGAGGTGGGGGTGGGCGGGATCCTGAAGCCTCCAATGGGAGCTGCCACTGCGGCGCATCGACCAGCTGCAGACCAACAGGTGGGAGGGAGAGATAAGGAACAGAGAGCACATTGAAGTTCCTGCAGAATCTGAAGGAAGAGGGTGAAGGTCGGGACACAGCATCTGTCGGCATTCCTCCTTTTTGTGGGGGTGTGTTGAGGCAGCCTTGAGAGGCTGCTATGGCGTCAGATAAGGATAAACATGACTTTGTTTAGGGCAGACAGAGATAGTCTTCCTCTCCGTCTTGTAGTCTCTAAGTGGTCATTCATGTCCACCAGTGAAGCCAATTTTACATTCCACATCCCCGCATCGTCCGGCGACCCTCTCCGAGATCAAATCCATCTTGCGCACTAACACAGGCAACGCCGCAAGGACATTGTCCAGCTTACGGTTCACCTCGAGTAACGTCCCAGTCTGTGAGGTCACCGCACGAGCGGCACATTCCGTGGGTACGGGTCGCACTCCAATCGCTCCCGTCTTCCCAAATTTCCAGAAAACCAGATATCCTCCCACTCCAATCAGAAGAAATCCAGTGATCATTAGGCCGAATATCCACAAATCTTCCACGTCCTCGATGGACAGCTGAGAGAGGCACACGATTCGCCAGACCTCCCAAGAATCGAGTGCATATCCCGATGCGAATGTCCCCTCGGGACAGGTGGGAGCCCCCTTCTCCGTTCTCATCGTAGAAAAAATTTTGTCAATCACGTTGAATGACCAATTAATTAAGTCCATATTTCCAAAAAAGAGTAGTGGTTTCAGGAGAAATGCAGAGAAGTGCTCTGTAGGCAGACAGGACAAGAGCCTTGGGGAAGCCGATAAGGGAGCTGAGAAAAAAGCGTCTGTACTCTCTGAAGGCTGCAGAAGAGCTGTGAACAGCGACGTGCGCCCCCCGGTGGTGAGAACACAACAACAGAAGAGAGAGGAACCGGACAGGAGTGGAGGTGTGGATGAGATCAGATGGAGCCAGATAAGCTAATGAAGAGCTTTGACAGTGATGAGGAGATTTTAGATTCTCTGTTTAAGGGGAAGCCAGTGGAGTTGTTGCAGAGCGCGGGTGTTGTGATGGGTGGTTTGTGATAACAACACGTGCTGGTTCTGGAGGGATGTGCTGGGGAGCCCAAAGAGGTGGAGTCAGTCCAGGAAGTGACAAGGTTGTGGACGAGAAGAGAAGATTGCAATGAATAGATGGGTGCAATGACTGGTCGCATTCTTGTCAGTGATTGTTTTTATTTTATTTGTTTATTCCCCTTTGCACAGACATCACGCTGGTTTGTGCCACTCGGACAAAGAGAACTGAGTGGAGTTCTGTTTGTCAGGACCTTAGTTGGATCTGCTGTGGACCAGGACGAGAACAGCTGCTTTAGTGGAGATCTGGACATCTGCAATGGGGGACGCCTTTGGTTTGGTCTACTGTCTGGCTAAGGAGGAGGACTATGAGCAGGTCCTTCAGTAGCTATAGAAGTCTCTCCTCCAGGAGAATGTAGACATTTCTGACTTTCTGCTCTTGTGTTTGGGATCCAGGTCATGAAGATCTGCACTTCAAAGGACTACAACGGACTGGACTACCTGCCTGCCTTCTTTCACCGCTGGCTGAAGGAACCTGGACGGATCGTCCTCTTGGCTTGGATGAAAGACAGAGTGGTAAGGACGGGACATAGGTGATGGGTCTAGTAGGCTAGGGTTTCCTCATCTACTGATGAAATCTTGCTTTGACCTGCAGGTGGCGCTGGAATCTGCCTTGCTCGTGGATGGGGGTCAGACGGTTGTGTTTCAGGGTCGCAGGGTGGTTTCTGACCTCAGAGGCAGTGGCATCGCTGGCGTCCTCCACAGTCATGTGACCTCCTACGTCCGCAGTCAGTACCCAGAAGTCTGTGCTGTCAGAATGAGCCGAGGAGACCATCCTTCAGAACGAATCCTGTCTAAGTACAGTGTTACGGCCGCAGCCGTTTTGAAGCCCAGAGGTGTGCTCCGCGCCGTTCCCTGTGCAGCAGCGCAGCACCACGGACAGCTACGCTCTGGGATGTTGTCCTTACTCCAGCACCATGGAGAGCGCCGGAGCGGCAGGCACAAGCAGCTGGGACTTTTTATCTCATCAGCCGGCCCTTCAAAAGCGGCCAGCTGGAGCTCATCAGGGGAGAGAAATGTTTGGAGTTGCAGAGGCAACGTTTGTTCTCTCCCCGTTGGCAGTTAATACCAGGTTGTTGTTGGCTTTTTGTAAAGAAGCAGCTTTAGAACCTTTTGTGTTTTGGGATAGTTGCATTTAAGCGGTAATTTTGGTTTTGGTGTGTCTGCTAGACCATCTTGTGGTTTAAGTTACCAGGTGGGGATTATTCCCCTTTTGAAGTCTCAGTTTTCTGAGCTATTTTTGTTGTTTGGGTAACCTAAGTTAATTCAGCATTTGGTTTTGTCTGTTAGACAAACCTTGGTTATTTTAAGGGTGGGACTTTCCCCTTTTGCGTTTCATTCCCTTTTTAAATAAAGGAGATTAATTTTAAGAGTGGTTGGTCCTCTGGACATTTTTAGTTATTCGTTTAAACTCAGTTTGGTAAGGGTTTTTGGCCCTTATTTTGGTACTTTCTTTTTGTAATAGTTTCCTTGAAAGGAAACTTTGAGTTTTGGTCTTGCTTGGACAAGCCTTTTTTCTCCCCAACGAGGGTCACTTTTGTTAGACTGGTCCATCTTATGTTTATTCCCCTCACCTTCCTAGCTGAGCCCATAGAGGGGTGTAACATAAATGGGGGCTCGTCCGGGATTTTTCACTGATTTATAGCTGTTTTATTACACGGTTATAGCCTGTTTTAGATCAGTTAAGCCCGTGCCAAACGTTTGGACTAGTTTTAACATTTGCTCTTTGTTGGTTTTGTGAAGACACAAAACCCACGCTGTTTTGTGTTGTGTCATTTTGTTTTGTGCTTAAACATGGCTCAGTTTTGTGTGGAGACATTTATGGAGGCTCCATCCCGTGAGGTGCTGGAGCGTTGCCGCAAGGCTGACCTTCTGCAGATAGCTGTCAACCTTGCTCTTGACATCCCAAACCCTGTGCTGAAAAAGGACTTGGGGTTGCTCATTGTGGAGCATTTGGAGGACATGGGGATTTTAAAGACTGAGAATGAGTCTGGTGCAAAGACGGAACCAGAAGGATCTCCTGCAGATCCTGATGAATGTGACGATCCTGAAGTCCCTGCTGCTGCGGAGGATCATGAGGGTGAGACGATGGAGACAGGAAAAACTCCTCTAACCGTACGAAAGTCTGTTCCGACCTCCCCAGGTTCGCCGACGGAAGGATCTCGAGACGCACGATTACAGGTGCGGCTGGCACGTCTGGACATGGAAAGAGAGGAGAGAGCCCAGGCTAAAAGACTCCAGATGGAACTGGAGGTTCGGAGGATGGAGATTGAAGCTGACACAGCTGTGAGAATAAGGAAATTGGAACTGGAAGCCCAGCTTTCCAACCCTGGACTTCATATCACGCCCACCAAAGCTCCGCAACCCGCCACAACCCCGGCCTTTGACATTAGTAAGTGCATTTCCTTAATGCCTACATTTAGAGAGACCGAGGTTGACAGCTATTTTGTAGCTTTTGAAAGAATTGCGGAGACGTTGCAGTGGCCGCGCGGGGTGTGGTCTCTGCTGCTCCAGTGCAAGCTGAGCGGCAGAGCTTTAGAAGTTCTGTCTGCGCTCCCTGTCACAGATAGTCTGGACTATGACCGAGTGAAAACTGTTATACTACAAGCGTATGAGTTAATCCCTGAAGCTTATCGTCAAAAATTCAGACAAGCTAAGAAAAGTGCTGGACAAACACATGTGGAATTTGCACGTGAAATAAGCATGCTGTTTGATAAATGGTGTGCGTCCACAAAAATTAAAACTTTGAGTGACCTCCGAGAGCTTATCCTTTTGGAGGATTTTAAACGTAAGCTGCCTGAGAGACTGGTAACCTACTTAAACGAACAAAAAGTCAGCACTTTATCAGCTGCGTCCCTTTTAGCGGACGAATTCACACTCACTCACAGAGAGATTGTGAGGAGAGATGAGAGAAAAGACGTTCAGCCCGTTTTGATGAAGAAATCCATAAAAAGAAGCTCTCAAAACGGAAATCCTGAAACCCGTACCTGTTACTATTGTCACAGAACGGGACACGTTCTTAAGGATTGTTTTATGTTGCAGAAAAAGAACGGGAAGCCCACTGCAGCTCCTAAGGAAGTTGCATTCCTTAAAAAGTCGCCTGTGGTTAACCCCTTGTGCGCCGCCGGGGAGCCTGATGCTTGTTTTGCACCCTTTATTCTTTCGGGGGAGATCTCGTTGACTCCTGGTGATGCAGACAAGCAAAACGTTCGCATTTTGAGAGACACAGGTGCGTCTCAAACGTTAATACTGAGCAGCGCACTCCCATTTTCAGCCAGTAGTTCACGCGGGTACGCTGTTTTGTTACAGGGAATTGAAATGAAATCCCTGCCTGCCCAGGTGCACCGCGTTCACCTGGAATGCCAGCTCGTTAGCGGCTGCTTTGATGTTGCCATTTGTGACCATTTACCGGTAAACGGGGTTGATGTGTTGTTGGGGAATGATGTTGCTGGAGGTAAAGTGCTACCTCTTCTAGAAGTAGTTCCTCAACCTCAAGCCGAACATGTAAATTGTGCTGCTGATTCACATTTTTACCCAGCTTGTGCTGTCACCCGGTCGCAAACGCAGAATAATGCGGACATCCAGTTAAGTGACTCAGTGCTGATGAGACTCCTCAGTGATGACTCCGAACAGACAGCCCATGATGAACTTGGATTTGTTCCGTCATCAGACGCAGAAGAGCAGAGAGAAAAGGCTGATGCTGATCCTCAGCAAGGAGAACCTTTTCCACTTACGGCAGAAACCCTTTCTGCTGCACAGAAGAGTGATATTACTCTGAAACCTTATTTTGAACAGGTGACCACTTCAGATAAAACAGACAAAACTACAACACATTATTTATTAGATAATGATGTGCTGGTGCGTTGTTGGCCTCAGCCCGCGGCTGAGGGCATGGAATGGGGGTTGGTGAAACAAATAATTGTTCCATCCTCTTACAGAGAACATGTGGTCTCCTTGGCACACGAGAGTGACTGGTCTGGCCATTTGGGTGTCAACAAAACTTATAAACTGTTGTTGCAGCATTTCTTTTGGCCAGGGATGAAGAAAGAGGTGTCTCTCTTCTGTCGGCGTTGTCATGTCTGTCAGATGACAGGAAAGCCGAACCAGCCCATTCCTCCTGCCCCGTTACAGCCCATTCCTGTAGTGAGTACGCCTTTTGACCATGTCATCTTAGACTGTGTGGGACCTTTACCTCCTTCTAGAACAGGAAAGCGATTTTTGTTAACCCTTATGTGTTCAGCTACAAGGTTTCCGGAGGCCATACCGCTGAACTCCATCACCACCAGGTCTATAATCAGAGCTCTAACCCATTTCTTCTCCATCTTTGGGTTACCAAAGGTAATACAGACCGACCAAGGGACAAACTTCAAATCTAAACTGTTCAAACAGGTAACAAAAACCTTAGGAATCACACATGTCATGTCATCCGCGTATCATCCTCAGAGTCAGGGCGCTTTGGAAAGATGGCACCAAACTTTAAAGGCAATGCTGACAAAGTATTGCTTAAGTAAAAGCAAAACGTGGGAAGAAGGATTGCCTTTTGTGTTGTTTGCTGCTCGTGAGGCTGTGCAGGATTCTCTTGGTTTTAGTCCTGCCCAGCTTGTGTTTGGACACACTCCTCGTGGTCCCCTGAAAGCTCTAAAAGAGAGATTTCTTTTTTCTGATCCGCCTGACAGAAAAGTGCGGGAGTATGTCCAACTCTTCCAGAAAAGATTAAAGGAAGCAAACTCTATTGCTAAAACTCACTTGGACAAAGCTAAACTGAAGATGAAGGTTCAGTATAATAAGACGGCAACCAGACGTAACTTTGCAGTTGGAGACAAGGTACTGGTTCTAACTCCTTTGTCCAATTCGGCTCTCAGCACCAAATTTGAGGGACCATTTGAGATCCTGAGTAAGCTCGGGGACACAAATTATGTGCTACACACACCTGCCAGGAGACAAAAAAGCAGGGTTTGTCATGTTAACATGTTGAAGTGCTATGAGGATGGTTCCCCTCTGTCTAAACCTGTAACAACTTGTGTTTTAGTACCAGATGCTGCTAACAAACCTATGGTACCACAGGAAGCTGGTGAAGTCGGAGAAGACTTCCCCTCTAGTTGTAGTCCTCGGTTAAATAACTCCGAGGCACTTAAGGAACTGGAAGGACAGTTAACACATTTGTCACCTGAAATGGCTGGAGACTTGGTGAAGTTAATTCACTCTAGGAAGAGTCTGTTTGTTGATGTGCCCACTCAGACCACTGTGTTAGCACATCATGTTGAGGTGAGTGAAGCCAAGCCCATTAGACAGCATCCGTACCGTGCTAGTCCCGAGAAAAGACTGATTATGAAAGAAGAAACGGAGTACTTATTGAAAAATGGCTTTGCTATTCCCAGCAGGAGCCCCTGGAGTTCACCCTGTCTGGTGGAGAGGAAACCAGATGGAACCGCTCGGTTTATAACCGATTACAGGAAGTTAAATGCGGTTACCATCTCAGACTCATATCCTCTACCCCGTATAGATGATTGCGTTGACAGTGTGGGACCTTCCAAGTTTGTGACTAAGTTGGACCTGTTAAAGGGATATTGGCAGGTACCTTTAACAGAAGAAGCTTCTCTTATGTCAGCTTTTGTTACCCCAGATGCCTTTTTACAGTACACTGTGTTACCCTTTGGCATGAAAAATGCACCTGCCACCTTCCAAAGGTTAATTAACACTGTTACTTCTGGCCTCTCACATTGTAGTGCTTACCTCGATGATATTGTTGTTTATACAGACACCTGGGAAGAACACCTCAACACTCTCACTCAGTTATTTGATCGTCTGGTGCAGGCCAACCTGACCCTGAACTTGGCCAAATGTGACTTTGTTAAGGCTACCGTCACTTACTTAGGTAAAGAAGTTGGGCAGGGGAAAATAAAGGTCCTGCATGAAAAGGTGAAGGCTATGATGTCGTTTCCTCCTCCCTCTACTCGCCGAGAACTGAGACGGTTCCTGGGCATGGTTGGATACTATAGGGGGTTTTGTCGAAACTTTTCTGCCGTTGTTCTTCCTCTCACAGATCAGCTAAGTCCCAAAAGGAAGTTTGAATGGACTTCGGAGTGCCAAGCCTCTTTTGAGGCTGCCAAGCTGCTGCTGTGCTCTGCTCCTGTCCTGGCTGCACCCGATCTGACCAAGCCGTTCAAGCTGGAAGTTGATGCCAGCGCTATAGCCGCTGGAAGTGTGCTGATCCAGGAAGATTCAGCTGGTATTGATCATCCGGTCTGTTATTTTTCTAAGAAGTTCAACCGACACCAACTGCAC